TTTACTGGTGGATTTATTTAAATAAAATGTGCATATTAAACACCTCAAAGATGGTTTCATTCATACCGTGGTCATTTTGTTCAAGAAAGATTCTACTGTTGAAAAAAAAAAAAAAAAAAAAGAAAGATTCTAGGGCTGGGCGGATGGCTTGGCAGTCTAAGTGCCTTCCTGGCAAGCACAAAAACCCGGATTCCATCCCTGGTACCACATGTCTTGCCAGCCCCAGAACCCCTGACATGCATTGCGGACCACTGAAACCAGACATAGTGGCACCCACCTGTAATCCCATTGCTGGGGAGACTGAGACAGGAGGATCACTGAGTCCAAGCTGTGTAGTGAGAGCCTGTACTAAATAAAAAATTTAAAAATTATATAGCATTCATTGAAATATAAAAAGCAAGTCTTGCCTAATGAAAACAATACATGGTGTGTATTATTATTCAGCCAGGAGGTAGAAAATGAAAGTATTTGCTTGCCTCTAAGTTGCAGATGTTAGCACCCACTAATATAAGAAGAAGTGTAGAGTGTGCCTAAGGAGAGTCACGTGGAGAAAAAACATTCTCTCCGGCTTTCACAGAGAGCAAATTGGTCAAGCAATGGCCATGACTCATCCACATGGCTGACACTAACAAAGGATCTATAAACTGCGGTACAGGGTAACAGGATAAATCCTGAGGGGACTTGACTGACCTTGTCAAATACAAAAGCTACATTTCTTGTTATACAGGTCTTACCTTATCTTGGTCTTAACCATCCAGCAGAAAAGCATAAAAACAAAGTATAAAAAGTAACGCCATATGAATATGCTGAGCTGTAAAAGGCTCCAGTCAACAACTTCTGACATTGCCAGTCCTATGGAAAACCCACTACTATTATGGACTACTGGACTATATTGGAATATTTTGTTGAATTCACACACGAACAATACTTCAATGACAATGAAATACCCTTTTCTGACAAAACTAAACAAAAAAGGGATACAAATGAAGGACCATTTTGTATTTGTATATTCAAAATAGGATAGATATGCAGCTACTTTCTCTTAATTCAATGAATGGAAAGATTTGTTCTAATAGTGTTTGTGGACAGGAAATCATGTCTGCATCTTGTACTATGGATGACCACTAAGAAGACAATATGCAATGTATTAATTATTGAAACTGTCCTAATTGGTTTTGAAACTGTCTTATTGCTATTTGTTTCTCAATAAAGTTATTTTAGGGGCTGGAGAGATGGCTCAGTGGTCTAAAGCACCTACTTGGAACAAGCTCGGCAATAGCACAGGGACCGCGGTTCGATCCCCCAGCACCACATGCCAGCCAGCCCCGCCCCCTGGTGGGCTGAGCTGGCCACACACACACACAATAAATAAATGTAATAAATAAAAATAAATAAATAATTAAAAAAAAAAAGTAAGTAAAACAAATTCTGTATAAAATTCAAATTTATTCTTGTCCCAGTTTGCTATAGCACAGGTGATCCCCCCATTACCAGTTTGAGTGTGAAAATGCCAGGGATTATTATACACTGAGCGAATCACAAATGTTTCTATCTAGATTGAAGTGTGTTTGTTTATGAGTATAGAATTTTTTTCTTTTCTTTTTTTCTTTTTTCTTTTTTTTTTTTTTTTTTTTTTTTGGCAGAACAGGCTTGAACACAGGCCCTTGCGCTTGCCAGGCAAGCACTTATTCTACTGAGCCATCTCCCTGGCCCCCATAGAATTTCTATTTAAATGCATTTATTTTTAAACCAGGCATGGTAATCCTAGCACTTGGGAGGCAGAGGCAGGCTGAGGATTGTTGCGAGTCTAGACCAGATTGGGCTACAAAGTGAGCTCAAGGCAGCTTTACCTGCATAGTGAGATCCTCAAAAAGACAAATAAAATAAAACTATCTGTTTCTGAGTATAGAATTGAAATAATAGTAAAAAAGATCTTTGTATAGTGCTAGTCAATAAGTCCTATCTTTAATTACATAGCTTAAAAAACCAATAACCACAAAGAAAAAAATTAATTGGAAAATCCATCTATTTGTATGTTCAATAAAGTTAGATTTTTTTGGAAAAAAAAATACTTCATTTTCAAACATAAATGAGAAGACATTAGTATGCGTTAAAATCTCTTATTTCAGAGACCGAGGATTTGTGCTTTTGTTGGTTATCTGGTCTGACTCTGGGTACATTTCAGAACTTTCCTAAGCTTTAGTTACTGATCTATTAACAGAAATAATCATGGTAACCATCCAAGAGTCATCAGGAGGATTATATGAGGTAGTCTGGCAAGTGAGGTCAGGGTAAATGCCTTTTATAATAGCCACTTGGAGGGCCGGCCAGACAGCTCAGTAGAGCTGTTTGCTTAGGCAAAGCACAGGGACCGGGGTTCCATCCCCAGCTCCACATGCCATGCTGGTCCTGTCCCAAGGGGGTGCACTAAGACAAGACTGGGCATGGTGGTGCGCACCTGTAATCCCAGCGCTTGAGAGGTTGAAAACAGGAGGATTACTACAAGCTTGATCTGTGTAGTGACACCTTGTAGACCCTGTAGTAAATACATTAAAAAAAAAAAAAAAAAAAAAAAAAAAAAAAAAAAAAAAGTGTAAAGAAAAAGAAAAGCCATCCTAAGATACTGAAACATCCTAGAGAGGGATCGATGAGTGTTTGAAAGAAAATTTGTGGAGATAGAGATGATGGTATGAAGTGAAGCATTAATAAAGCCTGGGTGAAATCAAGAGAGAAGCAAGCCAAAAGGGACATAGAGACTTTTTAAGTCCTTTTGAGAACTATGATAGAGAAATACTAATACATATAGATATATACTGATATTTTTAATAAAGGGATATTGGCGGGCTGGTGAGATGGCTCAGTGGTCTAAAGCACCTACTTAGAACAAGCTCAACAAAGCACAGGGCCCGCGGTTCAATCCCCC